GGGACAACCAGATGGTCTAGTATTGTTTAGTATTAGTTATTTAATCTTTAGAGTAGTATTCAGACATCTAACAAGTTGATTTCCTACCTTGAACATTGTTTCATTGGATTATACACTCAGTAGTACATAGAGCTTTGAGCCATTGCTTAAGACTTTCACTTCAGTATAGATTTGAGGGACTCCAAACTACGTGTACTCCTTCCTTACACAATGCTGTCGTCACTAAGAGAGTGTAGGACCTAAGGAATCACAGGAAAACAATGTAGCAGACCTTTGGCTATTTAATTTAATTTTAATTTAATTTTAATTTAATTTAATCAGTAACAAGACACGCTCGGTGTGAAGCATTGACCGATTTATCCCGGGAAAAGAGAGGCCTGATCCCTGGAAACTTATGCACACAAGGGTAAAGTCTCAGAGATTCAAGAAGAGTCACCTGTGAATGACAAGTAGCCGAAACACTGCTGTATGTAGCTCTCTTGTCCTCCAAATAAGGCTATTAGAATTGAGAGGTGTGGCTCAAAACTTATTAGTACTTGAGCATTGGAGATTATTAAGTAAAATTTAATGTTGGTACCAGGAGATGGTGTAGCATTGTTTAGTAGTAGTTATTTAATGTTTAGAGTAGTATTCAGACATCTAACAGGTTGATTTCCTACCTTGTAGATTGTTTCATTGGAATATACACTCTGTAGTACATAGAGCTTAGAGCCATTGCTTGAGACTGTCACCTCAGGTTTGACTGGAGGGACTCCAAAGTACATGTACTCATTCCTGTCATCAATAACAATGGTTATCTACACTATAATGTGAATCTGATAACATTGGAGCTAACCCTGTGTACATATTTGAGCAGTGTATTAATGTGAACAGTGCTATTGACAAACATCTATTGTATAATATTTAAAATTTAATATAGGGACAACCAGATGGTCTAGTATTGTTTAGTATTAGTTATTTAATGTTTAGAGTAGTATTCAGACATCAAACTAGTGGATTTCCTACATTGTGCATTGTTACATTGGATTATACACTCAGTAGTACATTGAGCTTTGAGCCATTGCTTAAGACTGTCACATAAGGTTTGACTTGAGGGACTCCAAACTACATGTACTCATTCCTGTCATCAATAACAATGGTTATATACACTATAATGTGAATCTGATAGCATTTGAGCTAAACCTGTGTACACATTTGAGCAGTGTATTAATGTGAACAGTGCTATTGAAAAATTTCTTTTTTATAATTTTTAAAATTTAATATAGGGACAACCAGATGGTCTAGTATTGTTTAGTATTAGTTATTTAATCTTTAGAGTAGTATTCAGACATCTAACAAGTTGATTTCCTACCTTGAACATTGTTTCATTGGATTATACACTCAGTAGTACATAGAGCTTTGAGCCATTGCTTAAGACTTTCACTTCAGTATAGATTTGAGGGACTCCAAACTACGTGTACTCCTTCCTTACACAATGCTGTCATCACTAAGAGAGTGTAGGACCTAAGGAATCACAGGAAAACAATGTAGCAGCCCTTTGGCTATTTAATCAGTAACAAGACACGCTCGGTGTGAAGCATTGACCGATTTATCCCGGGAAAAGAGAGGCCTGATCCCTGGAAACTTATGCACACAAGGGTAAAGTCTCAGAGATTCAAGAAGAGTCACCTGTGAATGACAAGTAGCCGAAACACTGCTGTATGTAGCTCTCTTGTCCTCCAAATAAGGCTATTAGAATTGAGAGGTGTGGCTCAAAACTTATTAGTACTTGAGCATTGGAGATTATTAAGTAAAATTTAATGTTGGTACCAGGAGATGGTGTAGCATTGTTTAGTAGTAGTTATTTAATGTTTAGAGAAGTATTCAGACAACTAACAGGTTGATTTCCTACCTTGTAGATTGTTTCATTGGATTATACACTCAGTAGTACATAGAGCTTTGAGCCATTGCTTAAGACTTTCACTTCAGTATAGATTTGAGGGACTCCAAACTACGTGTACTCCTTCCTTACACAATGCTGTCATCACTAAGAGAGTGTAGGACCTAAGGAATCACAGGAAAACAATGTAGCAGCACTTTGGCTATTTAATTTAATTTTAATTTAATTTTAATTTAATTTAATCAGTAACAAGACACGCTCGGTGTGAAGCATTGACCGATTTATCCCGGGAAAAGAGAGGCCTGATCCCTGGAAACTTATCCACACAAGGGTAAAGTCTCAGAGCTCCAAGAAGAGTCACCTGTGAATGACAAGTAGCCGAAACAATGCTGTATGTAGCTCCCTTGTCCTCCAAATAAGGCTATTAGAATTGGGAGGTGTGGCTCAAAACTTATTAGTACTTGAGCATTGGAGATTATTAAGTAAAATTTAATGTTGGTACCAGGAGATGGTGTAGCATTGTTTAGTAGTAGTTATTTAATGTTTAGAGTAGTATTCAGACATCTAACAGGTTGATTTCCTACCTTGTACATTGTTTCATTGGATTATACACTCAGTGGTACATAGAGCTTTGAGCCATTGCTTGAGACTGTCACCTTAAACTTGACTGGAGGGACTCCAAACTACATGTACTCATTCCTGTCATCAATACCAATGATTATCTATACTATAATGTGAATCTGATAGCATTGGAGCTAACCCTGTGTACATACTTGAGCAGTGTATTAATGGGAACAGTGCAATTGACAAATATCTATTCTATGATTTTTAAATTTTAATATAGGTACAACCAGATGGTCCAGTGTTGTTTAGTATTAGTTATTTAATGTTTAGAGTAGTATTCAGACATCTAACAAGTTGATTTCCTACCTTGTACATTGTTTCATTGGATTATACACTCAGTAGTACATAGAGCTTTGAGCCATTGCTTGAGACTGTCACCTCAAACTTGACTGGAGGGACTCCAAACTACATGTACTCATTCCTGTCATCAATACCAATGATTATCTATACTATAATGTGAATCTGATAGCATTGGAGCTAACCCTGTGTACATACTTGAGCAGTGTATTAATGGGAACAGTGCAATTGACAAATATCTATTCTATGATTTTTTAATTTTAATAGAGGTACAACCAGATTGTCCAGTGTTGTTTAGTATTAGTTATTTAATGTTTAGAGTAGTATTCAGACATCTAACTAGTTGATTTCCTACCTTGTACATTGTTTCATTGGATTATACACTCAGTAGTACATAGAGCTTTGAGCCATTGCTTAAGACTTTCACTTCAGTATAGATTTGAGGGACTCCAAACTACGTGTACTCCTTCCTTACACAATGCTGTCATCACTAAGAGAGTGTAGGACCTAAGGAATCCCAGGAAAACAATGTAGCAGCACTTTGGCTATTTAATCAGTAACAAGACACGCTCGGTGTGAAGCATTGACCGATTTATTTCGGGAAAAGAGAGGCCTGATCCCTGGAAACATATCCACACAAGTGTAAAGTCTCTGAGATTCAAGAAGAGTCACCTGTGAATGACAAGTAGCCGAAACACTGCTGTATGTAGCTCTCTTGTCCTCCAAATAAGGCTATTAGAATTGAGAGGTGTGGCTCAAAACTTATTAGTACTTGAGCATTGGAGATTATTAAGTAAAATTTAATGTTGGTACCAGGAGATGGTGTAGCATTGTTTAGTAGTAGTTATTTAATGTTTAGAGTAGTATTCAGACATCTAACAGGTTGATTTCCTACCTTGTACATTGTTTCATTGGATTATACACTCAGTAGTACATAGTGCTTTGAGCCATTGCTTGAGACTGTCACCTCAGGTTTGACTGGAGGGACTCAAAACTACATGTACTCTTTCCTGTCATCAATACCAATGATTATCTATACTATAATGTGAATCTGATAGCATTGGAGCTAACCCTGTGTACATACTTGAGCAGTGTATTAATGGGAACAGTGCAATTGACAAATATCTATTCTATGATTTTTAAATTTTAATATAGGTACAACCAGATGGTCTAGTATTGTTTAGTATTAGTTATTTAATGTTTAGAGTAGTATTCAGACATCTAACAAGTTGATTTCCTACCTTGTACATTGTTTCATTGGATTATACACTCAGTAGTACAAAGAGCTTTGAGCCATTGCTTATGACTTTCACTTCAGTATAGATTTGAGGGACTCCAAACTACGTGTACTCCTTCCTTACACAATGCTGTCATCACTAAGAGAGTGTAGCACCTAAGGAATCACAGGAAAACAATGTAGCAGCCCTTTGGCTATTTAATCAGTAACAAGACACGCTCGGTGTGAAGCATTGACCGATTTATTCCGGGAAAAGAGAGGCCTGATCCCTGGAAACTTATCCACACAAGGGTAAAGTCTCAGAGATTCAAGAAGAGTCACCTGTGAATGACAAGTAGCCGTAACACTGCTGTATGTAGCTCTCTTGTCCTCCAAATAAGGCTATTAGAATTGAGAGGTGTGGCTCAAAACTTATTAGTACTTGAGCATTGGAGATTATTAAGTAAAATTTAATGTTGGTACCAGGAGATGGTGTAGCATTGTTTAGTAGTAGTTATTTAATGTTTAGAGAAGTATTCAGACAACTAACAGGTTGATTTCCTACCTTGTAGATTGTTTCATTGGATTATACACTCAGTAGTACATAGAGCTTTGAGCCATTGCTTGAGACTGTCACCTCAGGTTTGACTGGATGGACTCCAAAGTACATGTACTCATTCCTGTCATCAATACCAATGGTTATCTACACAGTAATGTGAATCTGAGAGCAGCCTGTGTACATACTTAGAGCAATGTATTAAAGTGACAGTGCTAATGAGAAATATGTATTTTATAATTTTTAGAATTTAATGTTAGTACAAGGAGATTGTGTAGCATTGGTTAGTAGTACTTATTTAATGTTTAGAGTAGTATTCAGACATCTATGAGGTTGATTTCCTACCTTGTACATTGTTTCATTGGAATATACACTCAGTAGTACATAGAGCTTTGAGCCATTGCTTGAGACTGTCACCTCAGGTTTGAATGGAGGGACTCCAAAGTACATGTACTCATTCCTGTCATCAATACCAATGGTTATCTACACTCTAACGTGAATCTGAGAGCATTGGAGCTAACCTTGTGTACATATTTGAGCAGTGTATTAATGTGAACAGTCCTATTGACAAATATCTATTGTATAATATTTAAAATTTAATATAGGGACAACCAGAT